GAACAGTGCCACGTAGTTTATCACCCCTCCCCCCACCTATAGGGGGGTGCCAATTGATACCTTGTTTGAACGGGCTTACGTAGCTCTATTCAAGTAGCACGATCCTTATGCTTTAGAGCTTTTACAAGAAAATTGACACACATTGGTAGATTGCATAACATTTTTTATTTTTATTTTTTTACATTTTTACCTCATCTTGATCTTTTTGTTTACAGTAAATGATCAAAATGTAGTCCAAATAATAAAAATAGTGATATTATTATTTGGTTATAATATAAACTACAAGGCTATTAGTATTTAAGTGATCGTTTGGAATATTTTTTTACCTTATTATTTGATTATAAAATAAATATTTTGAATTCACTTGTTCAGTTTTAAGTTAATAGACTAATTTTCGTAAAACTCTTATAAATGAAAAAATAAAATTGAATGCAAACTGCAATTAGCGGCAACTTCTAAAGTCGCCTCATGTCTCAAAAATATCAGGTTTGGCCTGGAGAGTCCAGACTTTTGATTCTGTAATGCCTTTCATGTCTCAAGTCTTGGATAGTCATATTTAATTTCAGGAAGAGTCATATATACCACTGTAGCTGAAATCTTGTTCTTTCTCAACCTGGCAAATGTCAAGCACTCAGAGTCATCCCCTAGTTCCGATCTGTCATGGTGCCAGTAAGTGTACCTCCTGGATGAAGATCTCCAATTAATGGTCGTACCGTCTGGAAGGATTGCCTCGCCATGTGTAGGCCAAGTGAAATGGGACGTATGATTGAATGCTACAAACATCTCTTATAATTGACAAAAAAATATTCGGTTAATTCTTTTTCAGAAAAAAAAAAAAATATTGTAAGATAAATTTGTTGGTCATACATTTCCAGAAATTTTATTCGCTGGCAAGTGCAAAAAGGAATAACCAAATAATGTTTCTTATATATATATATATATATCAAAAACTGCTGCTTTTGTCCAAAAGCTTGAGAATATGACCCCTATTCTATTTTACAATACATACATTTGAATTTTGAGCAGATGGTCTGGCAGAAAGCGAAAACTAAGAAATCCTAACGACAGTATCAAGAGGTATCTTAAGCAATTAAACAATTATAAACATAGTTTGGCTGTAATACATTTTAAGATCAGAAAACACAAGTTCAACAAGACCTTTATGAAAATGTGTGCTTCTCAAAACACTATTAAATTGGCGTTATGTCTGAAATTTGACTCAACTGATTATTTGGATTATGGATGGCCTATGTGGCAACCTCCAAATGGTCCTTTGGGTGTGACACAAATTGTGCTTGTTGAGGAATGATATGAACCGTCATATCAAATGGATGGCTGAGATTTATTCTTGATGAAACCATTTCAATTAACTTGACTTTGACGGGTACTGTAGCGTCACTTTTGGTTTTTGACTAAGTCTTCTGTTTTTCTCTCTAGACTCTTCGTTTTTCAGGGTTTTTTCTTCTTCTTCTTGGTGTTGAAATCCTTTTCTGTAAATTTGGTTTTTGTGATTAATCTTGTAATATTGGTCCTGCTACAGTAATTCTAGGCTGTTAATTTGTAGTATGTGTTGTTCTAAGGTTTGGTTAGGACGGTGGAGAATTAATTGTTGTGAAGGATTTGTGTCTTGGTTTTTGTAGATTCATAAGGGTCGATAATCAAATCAGTGTTCTGAGTGGTTTGATGTCTACTATACTCTCTCTTGGAATGCTATTTTGCACTAGCGGAACGGGCTACAGTCTCTGAGCCTCCCAAACTAGGCCTCTGGCTGAAATAGGTCAACAACTTGGTGTATTGCGTTTTTACTTTGAATATTTCTCTTATGATTGTGTTATGCTTCAATTTTTCATCGGCTTATTTCATTAAAATCCTTACACTTAATTGTCGGCTAGTCCCCATTAGAAACATTCAGACAAGTACATGAGAAACTTCCTAAATTATTCTGTAATGATGAAAATAAAAATCAACGTAAAATTATGAATGTTTATACAATTTGTATCTGTTCTTGGTTTTTTTTTTTTTTTTTTTCGGTTAATTCTTTTTCAGAAAAAGAAAAAAAAAATTGTAAGATAAATTTGTTGGTCATACATTTCCAGAAATATTATTCGCTGGCAAGTGCAAAAAGGAATAACCAAATAATGTTTCTTATATATATCAAAAACTGCTGCTTTTGTCCAAAAGCTTGAGAATATGATCCCTATTCTATTTTACAATACATACATTTGAATTTTGAGCAGATGGTCTGGCAGGAAGAAAGCGAAAACTAAGAAATCCTAACAACAGTATCAAGATGTATCTTAAGCAATTAAACAATTATAAACCTAGTTTGGCTGTAATACATTTTAAGATCTGAAAACACAAGTTCAACAAGACCTTAATGAAAATGTGTGCTTCTCAAAACACTATTAAATTGGTGTTATTTCTGAAATTTGACTCAACTGATTATTTGGATTATGGACGGCCTACGTGGCAACCTCCACATGGCCATTTGGGTGTGACACGGATTGTGCTTGTTGAGGAATGATATTAACCGTCTAATCAAATGGATGGCTGAGATTTATTCTTGATAAAACCATTTCAGATAACTTGGCTTTGACGGGTACTGTAGCGTCACTTTTGGTTTTTGACTAAGTCTTCTATTTTTCTCTCTAGACTCTTCGTTTTTTAGGGTTTTCTTTCTTCTTCTTCTTGGTGTTGAAATCTTTTTCTGTAAATTTTGTTTTTGTGATTAATCTTGTAATATTGGTCTTGAAACAGTAATTCTAGGCTGTTAATTTGTAGTCTGTGTTGTTCTAAGGTTTGGTTAGGACGGTTGAGGGTTAATTGTTGTGAAGGATTTGTGTCTTGATTTTTGTAGATTCATAAGGATCGATAATCAAACTAGTGTTTTGAGTGGTTTGATGTATACTATACTCTCTCTTGGAATGTTATTTTGCACTAGCAGAACGGGCTACAGTCTCTGAGCCTTCCAAACTAGGCCTCTGGCTGAACTGAGTCAAGAACTTTTATTTTTATTTTTTTATATGAAGAAAAATAACAGCATCAATTTGTAACATGTAAACAAATATGGTTCATGTTACCGATTAAATGTAAAATAATTTGTACTATGTATCTAGCAGCTATGGAAAAACTTGTTTACGTAATGGCTGGCTACTTTCTTAGCCCTCACATAATGGCCATCAGAGAACCATGTTTACATGACAATTAAAGTTAATTAACCTACAATTTCACTACACCTGCTTTACCTACAAAAAAGTACACAAAACATGCCTAATGAATTAAAATCTCTAACATTTTTTAGACACCAAATATCAACAAAATCGACAAGCATATGCTACCAAGGCATACGACAAGTGTAAAAACAACAATGTAACTAACGATTTTATCCAAGTTTTTTTATCGTCTTCTTTAGTTCAATCTAGTTAAAAATATTGAACATGTTGCGAGTGTTTTAACTTCTTTTTCAAAGTTAGTGCTTTAATTTAGATATAATATTTATCAAGGTACAATAATCGTATTTAAATAATATTAAACGAGTTCTAATAATGAATTATTCCATTTGTACAAAATTATTTCATCTGTATGTAAAAATGACAGAATACTCACATGGAGTGGGCCCCATGTGAATAAAATATTATTATAAAAAATGGGGCCCACCCCCTATGTGTGCGATCGAGTATTTTGACAGAAAAAATTTCTGTAACAGTAGCACTCTTCTCTAATAATATGGTAAATGATCAAATCTACCAAATGTGCATCTTAACAATATAACAAGTATAAATTTAGCATTTATTTTTTCTTTTTCTTATTAATATTATTTAGTTGTACAATTCTACGTATGAAATAACAATTAGTACAAACAAAAGTGAAACGCTATTAGACATGATCTATTAATAGAACTAACATGTTAAATAAACCAATGCATCAAATATGGATTGAAACAATCATAGGATTCACAACTTTTATCAACTTTTCAAAACATGGGTTTCATCAACTTCCATCAAAATCTAATAAAAATATGATTTTTAACCAAATTAAACTACGAATAAGATGCAAAAATGGCAGATAACATTTAAGACGCTACAATAGTACTGTAACTTGGACTGCTATAATACTTGTAAAATCCATATTTGAATATTAAACCATCCATATTATTTAGCTGAAAATGGGGAAAAAGATAATCAAGTACTCACAAGTTTTTAAAGTAGACATTTCCAACAGTAAAGTGACCTAAATTAGCTTATATTCATTTATTAACAAACGATAATGACATCCGAATGAATTAGCCCCTGTTTGATGGCCATTATTTCAAGAAAATTAAGATTTGAAAAGTGATTTTTTTGAAAAATTGAGTTTACGTGCAAAATATTTTATTGTGTAAACGTATAGTTGAAAATAAGTATCGAAATTAAAAAGTTTTGAAATAATGATTATCAAACAGGGATTTAATATGGGCAGCAGATAAAAAAATTCCTGTAGGTTAACCTGTAACTGTGACAACCGCATACAGTGAGATGTATTAAAGTCACAAAAGAATTCAATTTTACGAGAGAATGCAACTACAAAGTCACAAATAGTTTTTCTCCTCAGTTCTCATTAACCATTATCAAGTTTATCAAAATAATGTACAAACCAATAACAGAAAATCGTCTTATATATAAGAGTAATAATTATGTACTCACTGCTCACACATGAATGAAAAATCCAGATGCCCTGTGCTGTCTGATCAGCCACAAAAGCTTGAATAAAGTCACAAGTATTGCAGTTCACTATTGAACTAGAAAAATCTATCCACTCCAAAGAGTGAGCATAAAAAATCTACCTTTTGTACACTACCGATGGTTCAGAGAGAGATTATAATATAGAAGAACACTGGAAATAGCCCAAGTACATGGATATTAATTTCAAATCTATTTAGCTACTAATTACTCAAGTACACACGTCACAGACGAGATGTAAATACCTTTTGCAAGAATTGAGAAATAGTACGGCTTTGTTGTTTAAGAAATGACACGAACCCTTGTCGCGATGTTCGTCTTCTTCGACACTCGTCTAAGAGTTATCACGTCGGTCAGTCTTTCTGTAAGCTCGGATAGATCATTGCATCTGATATCGCTGGCCTGGAAGGATGATGAGTAAGAGAATTTAAATATTTGGAATCATAAAACAATTTATAACAGATGAAACCCTAATTCTAACAAATTGTACCTCGCACTGAATTATATGGAGTGGCATTTCATTTGTTTTTGTAGAAACATAGTTAACAACATTAAGCCCTCGCTCAAGCAATTCCACAAGAACTATTGAGAGGGGGAACCCTTCCTCTTTTAAGCTGCAACGGATTAGAATTTCTGCACCATCCCGGCAAGGGTTCACTGTGACTAAACCATGCGAAAAACTAGTGGAACTTCCATCCTCGTCGCTAAGGTTGCCTGAATTTGACAACTTCTTTAGCTTGTCTCTCTGATAACGTAATTTTCTGATGTTCTTTTGCATATCTGTTATGTAATTTATAGCCCCTTGCGTATGATCTGATATGGTCTTCTTACCCTAAAACACCACGAATATCATGTTAGATCTGTATATGTAACAACAAAATAAATTTAAGTCCATTTGTCAATAAATTTGGAGTTGACTACATAATCATTATTGGATCTACTAGGACCTAAAACAATTAGATCCTTAAGAAGTGCAACAGGATTAATAATGAATTCACCTTTAGATATTCAACAGGAACAATTGATCGAAGAGAAGCATAAAGATTAGCCATTTCTTGCCTTCTTTGTCTTTCTAAATCTCTGTGCATGAGTTTCCGAATATTGGATCCATCAAAAGTACTCCCATCCTTGTTTTCTTGAATACCTGATGATCCCTGATCTCCCTTCCCCCCTCTGCTAGTACTATGATTACTATTTTCCACTAAAGTATGATCCATAGTCAGATCTTGCAGGATTTGGTCTCGTTTTATAACAGAAGGGGGCCGAAAGACCATATCATCGCCGAGTTGTAAAGGAAACATCTCAACCGCAGATCATACAAGATTCTCTGATCCAAGCCTTCTTTCTTGTACTTCAATGGCGTTTATAAAGAAGAAGATGCGTTTTTACGGTGCTGGGATCTCTCTGTGGTCCTCAATGCTACGATTACCTACAAAATCTGTATAAAAATGAAAAAGACCCCACCACTATGATCTTGTTGAATAATATTTTATGAATATTGATTTTGCTAAAAATATTCAATTACAAACTCGATCGTCCACATGTGTTTTCATACTCAAGTGGATTTTAACTTCTGGTCGGATATCAACACTAATCATCATAATTCTTATTGTTTTAAATTTGTTACATGCTATTGGACAAGAGTGAATATTGGCAAAGTAAATAAAAGAAAGAAATAAAGGAGGCTATGGTTTTGTATTGCGACAGTGAAATAAAAACCTACAAAACAGTTTAAAGAGAGTTTATACGTAGCCATTGCCTTACAAGTAAAACGGCCATGGTCTTGTAATTAATATGAAATAACAAAATAAACTATAATATCAATACAATCTCCTACTTTGAAAAACTCTCATCAAACCTATCTCCTAAATACAGTTCCCGATAATGAAATCACTATATTCATAAAAATCTTTCATTCAGAGGTCACAGTTATATGTATCAATTGAAAAAGTACTTGTTGGGGAATTTATAATGTGATCAATGAAGAGAAGTAATGAATATTGATAAGTGTATTTTGTACACTTATCTAAGCTATTAAATTAGAGTATTTGTTAGTGATTTGGATGAGTTATAACTTAATAGTGTGTTAATTATGTTTGTTATGTTGAATTCAATGCGAATTGGTGGATTTGGAAGAAATGAACGAAAAACATGCGAAAAAGAAGGAAATTCAAAGTTTGAGGACCAAAGTGTAAACATTCAATAGTTGATTCGGAGCACAAAACGATGATGGAAGATCATATAGATTAATTGGATGTAAGTGGAGGTCAAATGAGTGAAATATAGTGGAAGTATTTTCACGAGTTAATTTCCAGTCGAAAAAGTTACGCTCCAGATTTTTAGCTTCAACTTGAGATCCATTTTTCGGATAGAAAAAATTTGAATTAAAAAATATTTATTTCTAGGAGAATTATATTATTTTGAATTATCTTTCCAACTCATTTTGAATCACCTCAATCGAATATATATAGAGAAAGTTATAGCCAAAATACTGAAAGCTGCTCAAGGACGAACAGAAGCGACCTATTTTCCCCCACCCAAGTCATTTGGCTCTATGTCGAATCCTATTATTATGCATCATTTATTCACAACAGAGTTTTCAAATTTCCTACCACTGTGTACTGCTTATAAGTGTTGGGTTTTTATACCCAATAAGTCCCGACCAATGATGTTAAACATTTTAGAACATATTTCATAGGCCTCAGCCGATGAGTGAAATTATTATCAATACAATCAATTGATAGGCTCGACCCGAAAGCAATGAGGCTACTAGTAGCAACTTAATTTGTTAATATTGTCTTAGCCCAAAATTCACTTATCGGATTGCTTTCTTTTAGTCTTGCCCCATTATTTTGTGGAGTGGCCCAATTAACCTAAAACCTAAATGAATATATACTCGTCACTTTGTTCATTGGAACATGGATGGGTGTGTTTTGCCCTTTTTTGAGAGAAAAACAAACGGTGTCTGCCTCGTTTTTTCTTCTTCTTCTCTGTGCCTTGTCTCCCTTTACTTGTATATTGTATCTTGGATCTGTCGATTATAGGATGGTCGAGCCCTACTCATGGTGACCTGGTTGAATTAGGAGAAGTTGTAGGTATTATTGCAGGACAATCGATTCGAACCCTGCCATTGCTCGAGCACGAAAATTGATAAAAAAAACATCCTCCAAAGCAGTTTGGCAGATTTGAGAAAATCTGATCGTAGGGAGGACTTTAGCCAGGATCGTTGTTTTCTCTTTGCCTTTATAACTTGGGTAAGAAAGGAAGAAAGCAATCATAAATGAATACAAGTTGTGGGTCAGAACTTTGATTAATTGTAAGATATCAATTGGTAAGTTTAAATTGAACATGGATTCTACAAATTGAAGATCAATTCCATGACAATAAGCAAGGTCACAACTATATATCAGTTATAAGCCACAAAGTGGATATTCATAGTGGGTATTTGGTGGGAATTAAAATTAGATTTTTAGTAGAATGTGATAGAAGTTTTTGAAATGTGTGGTTGAAAAGTTGTGGGACCTATGAAATATGTGATTAATATTGATCATTTAATTTTAACTTGGATTCAAATCAAATTTTAATTCGAACCAACCAAAGGCTTAACGTTGATAGAAGTTTTTGAAATGTAAGATTGAAAAGTTGTGGGTCCCCATGAAAGATGCTATTAATATTGATTTTGCCTTAAATTAAAATTTGATTTTAATCCTAAACTAACAGGGCCTTAGTAAATAATATGATCGTATGGAAGCCAGCAACAATTTTTGAGCATTCTAATTCCTTTAAATCTCCTTTTTTTATTTTTTGGAAGCTTCGATTGTTTGTAATAATCAGTGCAATTCTATTGGCTTTGCGTTGGAAGGAGTTTGTAGAATCGTGTTATACAAGATTGGTGACACAAACTTTATTATAACCATTCACCACATTTGTTAGTAACAATTATAGTAATTAGTTACTCTTCACTTATTTTATAAAAATCACATTTCTAATGGAGCTCTCTGATTTTTCATATTTCAAGATTTTTCAAATGTTGGTAGGTCCCTTTTTTTCCCTAAATATTAAGAATAATGGACTAGGCTCTTAGAGGAGGAGAAGAGTCCTTTTACGTCAATTAGGAATAACTTGTTGAATGCAATTATTGGACAATGCAAGGAACAATTTTTTTATTTTTTTTTTTTTTCCTTCCCTCCTTCATTTTTTTTTTTTTTAAGAAAAAAGCACCATCTATACATACAGGCTTAATTTTTTACGTCCTTTCTTCAATATTGTTTTTCGGCTTATCATCGAACTCCTCTAGTTTTGCATTCTAATGTATTTGAAATCATTTTCAGAAAGGCTGGATATTACATGATCTTATTGGTTGATGATCCATATTTTTTACGAAAAAGTCTACCGCAACAATTTTTAGCCATTACAAATTTATTTTTACCTTAAATTCTCTGTAAACATGTACATGGAATATTGCTACAAATACTTATGATATTGAAGCAGAGAAAAAAGTTAATTTCTTTGTAATTAAATAACCTTGCAACTATTGATTAATTAATAGTACATCTCCAATACAATAATAGGCCGATTCACGCAAGAAAGAGAATAAAATCATGCATGCTTCCTACATATGCTTCTTTTAAAAAGAAAATAACAATTTTGAGAGATATGATCCCTTTGTTATGCATACATGGGAGCGGGTGGTCCATCAGAAAAGTAGGATTGACAGCTAATAACCGTATCAAGAAGAAAATCTCCACCAATTAAAAAACAATCATGCTTGATGTACACCAAATTTTACATTATCATGTGATAATACATTATTTGACAGTTTTAAAAAAAACAACTTTTTTTCAACCAATCATTGCTTGGCAACAATGGTAATCTCAAGCATGATGTAGAAAAAATGGTGTACAAGTGGCATTCGTTAAAATTTGAGGTTCCTGTTGGAAAAAATAATATTATTTACCGTCATGAGGATTGTTCATGTTGGATCATTATGAACTTAATAACCAAAAGCGGAAGCGTGCCTGTGCAATGAACAAGTCCTGCGGTTTTAGTCTTCCAGATCAATACGTTGTTCCTTTGTTTCTCTCTGAAGAAAGGAGTTAGAATAGAATGAACAGAACATGTGATCCGGGAACCATAACCGTATATTTATACTAATTGCTCATTGACCTAATTCGATCCATCATGAAATTAGAAACATGCCATGTCTCTACACATATAAGCCCATACTTTAATTAGATACTTTAAATCCCAAAATACCGAAACCTTATTACATCACTTTAAACGGGTTTAACCAAAATTGATAGTCTTTAATTTAATACACAATATTTCACATATAAGCCCACATGTTCAATTAAAATCCTTACAATCTCCCACTTGAGCTATATGTGTTGCCTTATATTTGTGTATTAATATAACTTTATGAGTACTCAAAATTTTGCTATCATTACCGAATGCATCCTCAAACAATCTGGTCCATCAATCATTTCAACTAGGATCAAAGCGGCTTTCGCTACTTATATCGTAACTAAACTCATCAATGGTCACGTATATTGACATAACTGAATGACATGGATCAAGCATGGATGTATAGTATGGAAATTACACATGATGTGATCTTAATATGCCTAATTCCAACTGGTCCACTTAATACCTTAGTGAGATCATTTCAAATGAGTTCAGAAATAATAAATCAAAAAACTTCATAACTGAAAATTACTTTAACTGTAAATCATATCCAAAATGACAGTACATGTGTCTGATATGAAAAGCACAGAAATACAAACTCTCACTGAAATTAGATATTTTTAAGAGAAATTACACCCATATGAGCTGTGTGCTCATGAAAGACCTTGGGTATCAATCCCTTAGTAAGTGGATCCGCAACCATATAGTTTGTCCTGATATGCTCTATTGACAACTGTTCACTCTGAACTCTTTCTTTAACAGCCATGAACTTGATCTCTATATGTTTTGACTTCGTCGAGCTCCTGTTGTTATTGGAATACAGCACTCCTAATTTGTTGTCACAAAATAACTTGAGTGATCTTTCTATATTATCCACAATGCGCAACCCAGTGACAAAATTTTGTAGCCATATTCCATGATTTGATATCTCATAACATGTTACAAACTCCGCTGCCATGGTGGAAGTAGCTATGAGTGTCTGTTTAGCACTCTTCCAGGATATAGCACCTCCAGCAAGCAGGAAGATATAGCCTGAAGTGGATCTCCTACTATCTCGGCATCCCGCAAAATCGAAATCGGAATAATTGATGATCTCCAACTGATCCGATCTCCTGTA